CTAATGTGTTGAATATTGGATCTGAGGTGGTATATCCAGTTAAGAGAAGATAACTAGATTATGAGGGCTCTGATTTTATCAATATTTTTGTGCTGATGAGTTCATAATTGGGTGGCGTTATAGAAATGTGATGGGGTAGATTATGCATGCCTTTGAAGGAATTTGGTCCCGGCTCCTGGCTGGCTGCCTTCTGTTTTCCAGCTTCTATGGAGCATGCAGTCCTACCTTTCCATATCCTCTGGCCATGATGCTGTACCCAACACCACCATTATGTCAATATAAAGAGAAAAAGAAAGAAGCAAAAGGGAAAATAAATACACCTTAAAAATGGGTAAAGAGAGGACATTCAGAAGAACAAATATAAGACTCAGGGTCAATTTTCCATTGAAAACAAGAGCAAATGGTGTAACATTCAGAAGGGCACAAAGCAAGTAAAACAGTTCAGGTGGCATGGGGCATCATCCATCCTTTCTTCCAAGGTTCAGAGAAGATCTCAAAGAAGGGACGGGTAGCATGGAAGGAATGGAGGAGGGGGGAGTGCTGTGACATGCTATAGCTATAGCCCACCTACCTACACAAGACCTGCAGCATCCTAGCATGGAAGTGGGTAGGGTGATGATATGCTTAGTTTTTGTCAACCTGGCACAAGCTAGAGTCATCTGGGAGTAGGGAATGAGAAAATTTCTCCATTAAACTGGCCTGGCGGGATTTTTTTTTTTTTGGAGGGGTTAATGATTGACAGGAGAGGGCCCACACCACTGTGGGTGGTACCACCCCAGGGCAGCCAGTGAACAGCTTTCATCCATGGCCTTTGTTTCAGTTCCTGTCTCCAGGTTCCTGCCTTCAGTTCCTGCTTTTGCTTCCCTTGACAATAAACTGCACAGCATACGCTGAAACAAACCTCCTCCTCAAGTTGGTTTTAGTTAGTGTTTTATTACATCCTCAGAAAGCAAATTAAGACAAGGGCACATGAGGTCCCCACCCACAGCTAATGGTTTCTGGTAGAGGGGTGCAGCCACTGCTAAGTAACTCATGATCCATTAAATAATCCCTACCCCACATGTATGGCAGAAACCCCAATTAAACTCAGTGGCATATAAAATCTAATCATAAAGTAGGAAGAGGATGTACTAGGAAGAATGGCTTCAGAGAGATTGGGGTTGGGGATTGGGGCATGAGACAGGACTGTAGGTGGAGACTGCTCATTTGTTTCCCAGTTGTCTAGACTCAAATAATAACACAAAACTATATTAATTGCAATACTGTTTGGCCAATAGCTTAGACATATTTTAGCTAACTCTTACATTGTAAGTTAACCAATTTCTGTTAACCTGTGTGTCGGTACGAGGCTGTGGCTTACTGACAAGAATCTGGAATCTGTCTTCTTTGGCAGCTACGTGGCATCTCCTTTGGCAATTACATGGCATTTCTCTGACTCTGCCTACTCTCTATATCTCTTTCAGCCTGACTATATTCTGCCCTGCTATAGGCTGAAGCAGCTTCTTTATTAATCAAAGGTAATAAAGCATATTCTTAGCATACAGAGGGGAATCCCACATCAGAGGACCACAAGGAAACAGGATCATATGGTCAAAATGCATTACATACATTGTCAAAGATAAATTAAAATGATTTACAAAACACCCGTTTAATTATTAAAAAGTAACAAAAGAGCCAAGTATAGTTGTTTGCTGCTATAATTCTAGCATTCAGGATGTTGAAGCTGGAGGATTACAAGTTTGAGGTTGGGATATACTGCCTAAAACTTATCTCTGAGAAAGCTAAAAATACAGAGGAAAAAAAAGATGGACTCAGGAGTAGATTTATTTCAAAGTGAATGATTGTGAAGAATAAAGATGGCTACATTATATGGCTAGGGACAACTGTTCATGAAGTACCTAACAATTATAAATCACCTCGAAGTTAATGGCAGAAGTTCCAACACTGATGTAACTTGAACATAAATAGATAAGCCACAGTGGTAGCCAGAGAGTGGAGGCATACTCTCAATAATTGGCAGAATATGTGAATGGAAGAGCAACAAGGATGCAGACGGCTGACAATTCACTAACTCCATGCAGTAGAGTTTTAGTGAGAACCTTCACTAACAGCGGTATACATTCTTCCTCTGTGAGCTTAAAATGCTGGCATACAGACCCTTGTGGGTATAAGCAGCTCTAGGATCATCAGGATGATCGTAAGTAATACTCATGGCCAATGTGGACTTACTTAGGAATCAGTTAGAGAAACACTCTTAAGATCATCCAGATGGAAGAGTACACTTCTAAACGACTCATGGAAGAAGGCACAAGAGATAGGTACCAGGAATATTTTAGATTAACTGGAAATGAGACTATGATTAAAGCAGCAGTAGGGGGGCAAAATGCTATTTCAGAAGACACAGAAAAAAATCACTTTGAAAAATTCAACATCTAATTCTGACTTAAAAAAAAATCTCCAAAAAACCTAAGCATAAGAGAGAACTTTCCCAACCTGAAAGGGTTATCTTCATAGAACCAATAATGGATGTCATGAATAATAGTGAAAAACTGAGTGTAAGATCAGAAATTAGAAACAATATCCTCTGTTATCATTTACATTCAACATTGTGATAGAGGTTGTAGCCACTGCAATAAAGCGAGAAAATAAAATGTTATGTGTCCATGTTAAAAAAAAAAAAAGAGACGATCTTGCCTTTGCCTAGAGATTTTAGTAAGACAGCGCTTGTGGGGAAAGTGGTGGAATTGACTCAGCTGGAACAGAGCTGACATCAGAGTTTACCAAGGCTTCATGATATTGAAAATCAAAAGTTGCTCTGTACGGTGGGAGCCAACAGTAAAACACCTTGAGAAAATAATTAAAATAATGCCCAAATCTATTTTTAAAAGTAGAAAATATGGAAGCAATAGTTAATGACATAATCTAGATTAACCAGGAAAAATGAGTCTTGGTGAGAGATAGTCTAGATCAGGTTAGCCTGTGGGCATGTCTGCGAATGATTGAATTAATTTACTTAATTGATACAAATGCTACTACTGTGGGCAGCATCATTCCCTAGGCTGAGCGTCCTGATATGTAAAAGAAAGGAGAAATTGAGATGAACACAAGAAAGCAAGCAAGTGAGCATTCTCTCTCTCTCTCTCTCTCTCTCTCTCTCTCTCTCTCTCTCTCTCTCTCCTCTTGACTATGGATGAATGAGGTGTGACTCGCTGTTTGGAGTTACTGCCTTGACTTCTCCATAATGATGGATGGTGATCTGCAATTATAAACTGAAATAAGTCCCCATTCCCCACGGTGGCTCATTGTCAGGGTGTTTTACCACAGTAACAGGCAAGACACTAGGACAATGCCAGAGATAACAAAAGCGGATAAATATTTGCTCATTGAAAGCCTCAAAAATATTTCTGAAAATTAAAGAAGAAACCTAAATAAATGGGGAGGAAAACTGTCTATAGATCAGAAGGCTCAGCATGAAGATCCAGTCACGTTCCAAACAGATTTCTATACTCAACACTCAGTTATGAATGAAATCACAGAGGAAAACTTATAGGACTTGGCAAATGGAGCTGGGGAGCCACTCAGTTGGTTAAGTACTCACTGTACAAACTTGAGGACCTGCATTTGATCCCCCAAAACTAAGTAAAAAAAAGGAGCCAGGTAAGGTATCGTGCACCTGTAACCCCAGACACAATGGGTACCAGGGCTCAATGCCCACTCACTCAGTCTAGACAAAATGCTGTGCTCTGGGTCTCAGTGAGAGATTTTGCCCCAAAGGACAAAGAGGATGGCACCTAATGAACAGCAGTCTAGTTTGCTCTCAGGTTTCCACATGAGCACATACATGCACGTGCATGCGTACACATGCATACACACATATACACATTGACAGACTAATTCTAAAATTCACATGGAAAATGTAAAGAATCAAGGAGAAGTAAAATGCTTTTCCAGGGGAAGAATAAATGACACCATTATGTGATTTCAAGACATTTGAAACTATGCTGACCATGGAAGCATGAATAAATTGAGATGAATGAGTCAACAGAACAGAAATATATAAGTCCAATATTAGCAGCTGAGCTTTGGTAAAGGTACAATTATCTTTCAAACAAATGATAGCAGAACAGTTAAAATCCACATCAGAGCTCTGCCAAGGGCCATGGCTGGGTCGATGTTCCTTCTGCATCTGGGGTTTGCAATAAGTCTATGGCCCATAGGGGTTATAACAACCATGCGTGTTGAAATCTGAGGGCCATGCTGAACCTTCCTCACCCCTCACTGGCCCTGGTCATGCCTCTCTCTGGACACTGCAGCAGGAGAGCTGGCCTCACTCCCCATTGGAGAGTTGGCCCCTACACTCAGGAGAGACGGTCCCACCTCTCACCAGGGGCATGGGAGAGCTGACTCTAAAGGCATGGGCTTAGGAGAGCTGATTCTTCCCCTTGCCTGAGGGGGGCAGTCCCAGTGGTTCATACCAACCAGCTCAGCTACCACCCAGATCCACATCCTGGGCCTTGATTTGGCCCACCATGGCATCCACCCCATCTATGACCTGCAGGAGAGCATGAAGGAACTGGTCCCATGGGATGATGACCTCAGGATCTCCAAGACCCGGGGCAAGAGCAGGGTATCCGAGGGGAGTTTTGGTGAGGATCCAGTGATGATGATTTGCCAGAGGCCTTGAACCAGACCAATGACTCATGGCCGTGAGCATTTTGTGGATGGGGTGGCTTGGATAAGGGTATACTGTGTGACACACCGAGACCACAGGGATAAGCGAAGAAGTGTTGGAAAAATGGAGGAGTGAGATGGGCTGTTTTGCTTTGTTTTTTTAATTAATTTTCTGGGGATGTTCTTTGGGGAAGGTACGCTGCACGGGTGAGGGGCAGATATAGAGGAACTGGGAGGTGAGTGTGATTGGGGGGAATGAAGTGGAATTCCCAAAGAATCAATAAATAATGATGTTTTAAAAAATCCATACCAAGGAAGTCGCTGTAGAGATGGTGCAGGCCTGGTACATGGACAAGTCCACCGCCAACCCGCGGATGCCCCACCGCGCGCACCCCAACCGCCCGGTGGGTCTGGAGCAGCTGCGCACGCTCGGAGTGCTCTATTGGAAGCTGGATGCCGACAAGCATGAGAATGATCCAGAACTAGAAAAGATCCGGAAGGAGAGGAGCTACTCCTGGATGGACATCATCACCATATGCAAAGATACACTTCCCAATTATGAAGAGAAGATCAAGATGTTCTTCGAGGAGCATCTGCGCCTGAACGAGGAGATCCGCTACATCCTGGAGGGCAGCGGGTACTTCGATGTCAGGGACAAGGAGGACAAGTGGATCCGGATTTCCATGGAGAAGGGGGACATGATCACGCTCCCTGCTGGCATCTATCACCGCTTCACGCTGGATGAGAAGAATTACATGAAGGCCATGTGACTGTTTGTGGGCGAACCTGTGTGGACACCGTACAATCGTCCGGCCGATCATTTCGATGCTCGGGTACAGTACGTGAGGTTTTTGGAAGGAAGAGCATAGCGGAGCTGCCCCGAAGAGAGTAACTGCAGCGTGTGAGACTCTGGCTGCGGTCACCTGTGGGAAAGTTGCTCACCTCTCTGCTTTCTTAGGAGGAATTGATGCTAGGCCAGCTAGCTCTCCTCGGCAAGATTGTCAGATCAGCTTCTTTTTAATCAAAGCATTGATAAAAGTGATTTTTACATGGAAACCACAAGAATGTGAACAAGTGACCTTAATTTTTCCTAATTCGGTCAAGACCTAGAGGTATGGGAGCCCTGGCTTGGTGTGTGCATTCATGCACAGTAGATCTTTGTGTCCCAGAAGGTCCGTTTGGACTGTGACGCTATGCCCTTTGGAAGGGAGCAGTTATACCCAGCACAACTAACCAGAAGGGAGATGTTTTTCTCCCTCATCAATTTTTGGGTGATTGCTTCAAACTAAAGCAGCTACCTTAATTGTATGCTCATGGTAATTACACTCGTGGGAATATATGGTATCTTACTTGGTTCATTAAAACCTCTTGGTAGATTCCTTATATGATTTTATATGTGCACAGTTAATTTCTACATCAGGGCAGAAAATTTTCAGTGTGATTTCAGGCCCCTTTACAATCAGGAATCAAAGGAAGTGATGCATGATTTCCCTACTCAAGTGCCTTTTGGGCTGAACTGATACAATTTAGATGTAGAACACTAACTTAGCACATGCAGGGCCCTGGGCATGGACCCCAGTACTGCAAATAAAGAATAATAATGCTGAAAAAAATCCATACCAAAACATCAAATGTGTCTACAGTCTAGGACAAATGAATCATAAGCTGAAACATGACATCTGAAATGCTATACGTTCAGGAAGCAAACACACCTGGAAACTGTATCAGCTTTGACTAGTCACCAGTATCCCAAGTAGAGAGTGAACACAAGAAGAGAAATAGCAAGCTGGAATTTGCTGGATACATTTTTATTTTATTCTCTGAGAATTTTATTCGTGTTGATAATGTATTTTAATCTAAAATTTTTTACATGTATGTCTGCATATGACATGTGCGCATTGCTTGCAGAGGCCAGAAGAGGGCGTGCAGATCCCCTGCAATTGCAGTTACTAGTGGTTGTGAGGTTCTCAGCATAGATGGATCTGAACTTCAGGCCTCTGGAAGAGTTGAAAGTAAGCGGCTGTCCATGTCTGACGCTATGATTATTTTGAGGGTTGTACGGTATATAGCAATGGAGAGAGAACAGTAAGAAGAATGGATCCAGCTGGGACAGTGGGAGCCTGAGGCAGCCAGATATACTGTGTCTTCACTCAGGAAGAAAGGGAGGGGTGGGGACAGGGAGGGAAGGAGGAAGAGAGAAAGAGAATGAGAATGAGAAAGAGAGGAATGCTGGTATTCATCTGCCTCCTTCCTTCTTTGTTTATTTCTGAGCCCCAGCCTTGGGATGGTGTGGCTCACACTCAGGGTAGGCATTCCCTCTTAGTTACACCCCTCTGGACAGTCTGTCACAGACTCACTGGGTGTGCCTTTTAGGGGTTTCCAATCCAATCGAGCTGACCGCGAAGATTGCTCTGCAGAGGACGGTAGTCAAAACACTGACTGTGCGCAACTCAAGGCACAGCAAGCAAAAGGGAAGCAGGGGGTCCACACGATGGTGTGAATGTGCAGTGGTGTCATCCAGCTGGGGTTCATGAGGCAGCTGTGAGCCTGTCTCTGCCACCAGCCACCATAAAGGAAAACACGTCCTCATGCGGAGACTTGTCCAGGACTTAGCTTCTAACAGCCAGCCTGAACCATCACAACCTGAACACCATCAACAGGTGAGCAAATATGACTCCCCTGGCATGGCATCCTGCTAGCAACAGAGAGGGACTATCACATTCCATGCATGGTTGGGGCCAAAGTCATTATATGCTGACCCCAGGCAGAAGAAAGGATGTATGGACTGTGTGGCTCAAGGTATAAAAGATTCTAGAACATTGCTACCAATGAACAGGAGAATCTATGGCTCTTCTAGGATGCAGTGGGCAGGAAGGGGTGGCAGTGGCAGTGCCAACATTTGGTTGATGGCTAAGGAGACTCTCTTCATTCTGACCACAGTGACTTGTTCCCCATCACCATACATCAAAGCCAGTCACACAGTGCACTGTGACGTGGGGAGCCTGGCTGCTGCTGGGGAGACCTTTTAAAGATGAGCTCAGCATTCAAGTCAGTTAACTCTGGGTAAAGCAGCTGATGCTTCATCATGTGGGTGGACCTCATCCAATCAGGTTAGGGCCCTGACAGAAAGGCTGAGCCGTCCCTGCAATGGTCGCCTGCTTCTCAGTCTGCCCTGTGTGTTCTGAACCTGCAGCCTAAGCACGAGGCCAGCCAACCCTCGGGATCCTCTCTGCTCTCTGTCTCTCACTTCTCTTTCAGCCGCTTTCTTAATCTCTTTCTTGTCATCATTCTCAATCTCGCTCAAATCTCTCTCAGTTTCTCAATTATAAATCTTTCCATTTCTCTCTCTCTCTCTCTCTCTCTCTCTCTCTCTCTCTCTCTCTCTCTTTCTCTCTCTCTTTCTCTCTCTCCCCATCTTCCTCCCCAGCTTGGTTCTTGATTCTTTCTCTTTGGATAATCTCAAACATCTCTACTGTTACAAATACCAGGCATTCCGACAGATAGGACTTCCCCCCACATTCCCACTGATGGTGCTCTCAGTCTCCATCAGGAAACACTGGTATGTGACAAGGCCCACAGGGACGATGACCTTGACAGGCGAGATGCTGCCAAGGCTGACAATGTCCTAGTCCCATCGATGCCTGTTCTGAAAATCCCACTCAACTTGAGAATGTTCATTTCAGAAATCGGAAGAGTTCCTTCCAGTCAATAGTGAAAAGATAAACACCCAAGAGCCACTTAGAAAGGGATATAAATAGATGATTACCCCCCAGACATTAATACGCTCATAATGACTGTTAACCCTTGTTAGATCAAATGAATGCGAATGAAAGCCAGTGTGGGAGTCAATTGCCACCTGTGAGGATGTCCACGAGACTGATGTCTGCCAGCTCATCGGGAGCTGGTGCGCGTGAATGGCAGTGGATGCTCCCAGGCACAGTAGCAGGAACGTGAGCATTCATGTTAACACTGCTGGGGCCTGGCAGGGTGATCCACAGCCAGGTCTAAAATCACGTCCTTACTTTGACCTAATGATTCCAGCTCTATAATCCCTACCTATAAATAGCCACAGCTATCCAAAAAACATTTAGTATAATCGTGTTCATTTCTGCAAGTGTTTAAACAAGAAAAGCATGGGACATAGCCTAACGGTCCAAAAATAAGGACTGATGAATGAGATGGTGGTATTTATGTGTGACAGAGCTTCGGATTGCCACCACAGCAATGTCACCGCAAAGTGCTGGAAGGAGCGACGACACCCTGAAATAACATTCACCCGTACTTCAGGGGATCATAGGACATTTGCAGAAGGAGGAGATGGGAAAAGAGGAGCAAACTATGGGATGTGGGAGCTCTGGGTGGTAGAAGTGAGGGGGGGCATGTTCTTGAATCTCTCTCCATTTGGCAGCTTTAAAAAATGAGCCCACTCTAGGAACAAGAGGCCAAGGAACACAGGGTATCAGAACATTTTCAGAAACCAGAAGGCATGGGTTCTAACCCCAGCTGCCACCCGCCTGCTCGTAATCCTTGAGACATTTTCCCAACCCCTTTCTGCTAAGTGCCATAAACTCCAAGGCTGCTATGAAAGACCCAGGGAATCCTGGGACGTGACCGCACACAGAATGGGGTGTCGAAACCCTACTTCCTGCATTAAGGATGGTGCCCACACAACTGGTAATCACTGTTCAAAGCAGCTCCTCATCTCCACCAGCAGCTCCCTGAAGGCACTTTATGTGCTCGATCCTGGAGCCTGATGCCTGGAGTCCTCAGGAGGCTTACACTCTGCTGGGAAACTCCTTGTCTTGTGTTTCCTTCTTGCCTGCTGCTAATTCTTCTCTCTGCTGTGCCCTTGTCCCATCTCATTGCAAGGTGATTCCCTCCTTGTTTGAGGTCAGTCCCTTGCGGCTGGCCAGGAACTGTCTCAACACACATGGAGATCAAATTCACAGGCTTTGTACCAGAAACCCGGAGGCACAGAGGCCAGTTCCGTCCTGGCCATATCCTTGCAAAGCTGCCGAGCTCACTGTGTTCTCCAAAGCTCACAGGTGGGAGAGAAGCAGACTCTTCCCACTTAGGTCTGTAGTCTGAATCTGTGGCCTAGCTTCTCCTCCAGGTCCCATTTTGGCAGACAGAGGTATTCTCTGTAAAGGTGCACAGCACAGAAATACAGAGACGCGGGAGTCTGTGTCGAACACAGGCTTGCTGCTGTTGCCAGAAGAAGAGCAGGGTAAGGACAGGCCACACAACTTGTCCCGTGAACATCAGGCCTTCTCGTGATCCATAAAGATTCCCTATAAACAGGATTATCTCTTTTTGAAGTCAGCTTCCCTCTCTACCATCTCTGTGGGGACAACCTGTTTTCATGTCAATAGACAAAGATCTGAATTCAGGGTCTCTGGCTGCTTTGGTCAATCAGGCATCTGGGACAAACAGCAAATGTGACATTATGGAAGACGCAGATGATGGGAAAGCCTTGCCAGTCTGTGACCCAGTCAAGCAGAGTGGAAAACACTGACAGCACACCTTGAAGTGCTGAAACTTTCCCGCAAGGATGGGGAGTGTTTATCCTGGGCAAACTCAGAATGCCCTCCTAGGAGCCCACCCTTTCTGTTATACTCTGTGACTGATGCAGGAACCACCAGGCTGGATGCTTCTGGCTTGGCCATGTCTCTTGGGGTTCAATGACATGGACTGGCCTTCTGGGAGACCTGGGGGTTCTCCTCTGGCTAAACAGTCACCATCTCTTTTATTTCAGGCTTATAGTTAAGGTGAGGGTATGATTCTCTAGTAAGCTTACAGTTTTCACATTTTAAAGTCCTGCTAATTCTGGCTGGTGATCAAAAGGAGCCCGTCAACAATAACAACAAAAATTGTCAATTGGTAGAACATGTTGGGTTCTAGAACTGAGCCTCTGTCTCCTAGCAACAGAACTCAGCACGCTGCTTGTCGCCCCATCCTCAATTCCATCCTGGTCTTTCTTACCAGGCCTTGGAAACAAGACCTGGATGGAGCATGCTGGGCCAGGCACCTGTCCTTCCATCTAGGCTACAGGCTGA